AAACCAGGAAACCAAGAGTTCTAGATCTGCCTTAGTGGAAATCTTGCCAAGAAAATTGCAGGGTCTTGGTCAAGGCAGTCACTGAAGCCAACCCTCATTTGAATGTGCGTACGTGTTTACGCATGTAAAACACACAGTCTGTAATAGACATATAGGCTTATGTTAAACGGATCCTTTGAATTTCACATGTGCATTTCAAGGTTAGAATGGGAAGATACAAAGGCAGTTTCAGGAGGTCTTGGCATTTATCATATTAGGATTTTATTGGAACTAAGTTTAATGTTGGGAACTGGGCTCATTTTAAACCCAACAGAAAGGGGTGGGATTCTCCCGGTGTAACAACCGGTTTGCTAATTGTGTGCTTTGTTGCATGCACAGCTATTGCAATTATTTACTTTCAATGTTACTTCAGGGAAGTAACACAGCTGAGGCACGGTAATCTGCTCTGCCATGCGAATCACCTGAGCAAATACGTGAGTACAGCGCAGGGGCTGGCAGGCCCACATTGAACTGGTTCAGAGCCACCTGATCATCGCAGCTAGAGGTTCGCCCGAACTGGTCCGCATCAGGAGAATCCCACCCCTGCCAACAGGGTATATTACTGTTTTAATAATGCAATATTTGTGTGTTTTAATGGATGTGGGAGTTGTATTTTATTGCTTGAGGTATGGGTGTCTAATCCAGGTCATGGTGGTTATATCCAACCATTATTAAGAAACCGAGTCCTGGTTCAAAGTTATGTTCTTTCCAACGTGGCAGATTGAATCTTCCTGCTTTTGGTGTAACACGTGAGCAACAAATGTTGGTAATAGCTGCACACTCCTTTGCAAAGGTGATATAGAAGCCGTCTTCAGTGCAACCTTTCCCACTATGGTTCCCTCAAAATCTGTGAAATTACCACTATTGTAATTCCTACTAGTTATGGGATCTTGCGAGTCAAAATCCAACATACTGTACTGGAAGGCCATAGACTGGACAAAGCTGATTTAAGCTGTCATTCAAGTACTCTTAACATTATCATTGTTTTTATTTACTATTTTACTTTACTGACCAAACTTTGTTTTTTCCATTTTTGTTTTCAGTTGTTTCTTTTAGCTTCTTCTGAGTGAGTTTTTACAGCTATGATGTCTTTCTGTTCGGAAGCATTTATGTTAATTCTTCTCTAAGGAAACACATTTGGATAAAGAAATGTTTCACTTCTCAAGCACCACTTGAGTTTTATGCAGTTGAGCCATGTTGCTGTTTTTGAGTTGATTCTCAAATGTATGATGTTCTGGAAAATAGCAATTTTCAGAGTACTGTGTACCAGCAGAATATTTGGTTGTTAGTTGGAAGAATTGTATTTGTATCTTATCCAAACATTCTTTCATGGTGGTGGGAAATAATACTCCCTTAGGCATAAAATGAAGAAGATAGTAGGAAGGACTATGAATATTGATGGAAACTCTTTGGATGACTGAGAAAAATATACTGTAGTTCTGAAAACCCTTCTATTACAATTGAAAGTCACCCAATCTAAAGAAATGTGGTCTGGACCACAAAAGTGTTTAATGCATTAATTTTGGTAGCATTTGACCAGCATAGTGAACTAAACTGTTACTGCAAAAACTATTCATCACCATTGGTAGGATAGGAATAGGATGGTGTGAGAGCAACACCTACACAAATTGCAACTGGGATTGAACAAACCAAAAGGGCTTAATCTATTCAACTCATAGAGGAAGCTGCTTTATTGAAGATGAAGAGTTTTATATTTTAACAATCCCAAAACTGGGCTGTCATCTGTGAAATCTTACTATTCAAAACTCAGCTGAAAGCCTCAGCTATTCATCTATATTAACAAAATGCACGGGAAGCATTTGAAGCAATTAGAAAGAATACTAATGGTGGATAGGAAATACTATTATTTATTTATGGTGTTATTGAATTATAGGGTTAGAAAGGATCTTGGGGGTTTTCTAATCTAGCTTCCTGCCCAGTACAGGAATCTCATACCATTATTTAAAGTCTTTAGTGCATTGTTACAACAAAATGTGTTTCCATTATTTAAGTTAATATCTTTTATCCATCAATCAATATCTTCTGCAGCAAAAGATAACAGAAATAAAGGTTTAACAGAATGATTCTGTAGCCCTCGTTACTATCACTATGCCAGAGTTGGTTGCAAATACAAAGCTAGCATCTAAAATAGTTATATGTATTTTGTTCGTTAAATTGGGTAAAAAATTTGGGAATCACCCTTTTATGGGAATATCCTCAAGCATTTTGGAAGCCCAGAAAAATTCTAGTGTCTTTATCTACAATTACTGACGTTTAGTAGTGGGCTTCGCATGAGCTGCAGTAAGTTTTATCGCATTTACTTTGCATATTTTCATCAGCGCAGAGGACTGTGTCCACCCTGACACTAATTTTCATAAGAGCATCTCCTCCCTCCAAAGCTGTCAGCCTTAACAATTACTTTTCATCAGTGTCATCTTTCTCATAGGAGAGGTCAACAAAACTTGTGAGTTGAGCTTGCTACCCTACCATTAATCCTACATTAATATAAAATGGAACAGGCTGAACAGAAATAAATTGAAACTCACCGTGGCCTTTCATTTGCATAATAGAAAGTGTGACATGGACTTCAGGGAAGAATGGTGAATTGAAGATGGCTCCGGTAAAAGCAGAACCGATGAACACAGTAAACAGACTACCTCTTCTTAGTTCTTCTCTGGACAAGGCGATACTTGAGATTGTTCACAAGTGCTCCAGACAATTGCTCCTCATGAGAAGACAGCAGTCTCCAGTGGATTTAGAGCTCTGGGAGATGAGGCAAAGCCATTCAAACTTGAATTGGTGCCTTTCAAAACACATACTTCCACCCTTTTCAAAAACTGCTGGTTAACTATTTTTCAGCAATTAGGAATCTTTGGATCTATCAATTTTACAGCACTGGGTTATTTTCTATCAATCCTTGGTGAAAGAAGTTTTACATACATAATTAAGGACTTTTTTTTAATATACAGAACAACAGAATGGGACAAAATATCTTTGCATTGGATGTATTGGAGGGTATTTTTGAACAATGGACCCAGAAGTTATTTTAAGAGTGTCTGCCTCTACACATCATCTGTATTTAAAAGATATTCAGGAAGGAAGAGGAACAAGTTTTATTGGACAGAACTGAAACTGATGTGAAAGTAGATTTCAGAATGACAAGTTATAAAAATGATATGGAAAATGATACTGCATTGAATATACAAATGAAACTTGCTGTCTTAATAATTAAAAGAAATATGCAAATAGTAAACCAAAAGAATGACCTTGAAAACTTTCCTATATCCAATTTACACAAGAGACTTGTTAAAAGTTTTGAAGGATTTTGTGAGGAGGAACAAAGAAAAAATGAAATAAGACCAAGTTCTGGGACAATATTTGAAGGGACTAAAATCAATATTTGTCTGTGGAGTTTCTCAATTACCCAGGTCATATTTTGAGCTTAAGTTGCTGGATGAAGTTGCCTTTCCCATCACTGTTTTCTAAATGTTGTTATAACCACCACATGTTCCTTACACCTGGTTGCCCCTCATTGATTTCCAGTGTTCTCAGAAGTGGAGATGGGATGTCTTCAGATCCCTGGGACAAATTGATGAAGAGTAAGATCTCAAATGCTACTTGTGATCAGATATAAAATGGAACAGTGGCCTTGTCATTGCTTGGATTGTTTTTGATCTGTAGAAAGCCAGAACATTTCCTTTAAACATCAATATAAAGAGCATCATGTAATCATTCTCTGATATTACTAACCTTCAAAGCAAATGATTCTACAGCAAACTATTTTTCGCTAGAACTCTTTGTCAAAGAGAAATACCCGTTAGTGAATTCAAGGTGCTTGATAAAACAGTGAAGATGGGGATATGGTCAATGATCCAGATGGCACTTACCTTGACTTATGATTGGCATCTTAAGCATTGTGAACCTTTAGTATATAAGCTCAATCTCCAGGTATGTATCAATCTTCAGCTCAGAATTACATTTTTGTTTCTGCTTGTTCTTCCATCTATAGCTTCATCTTGCTTATGAAGACTGTAATAAGTTCTACTTACTGAGTAGGAGCAATGACACAGTCACAACCAGATGCAGATATGCAACAAATAAATTCTAATTAATTGGAATTGGGTCTAAACACTGAGCCCTAATGAGGCTAAAAAAATTAATGATAAGATTTGCTCATTAATGAAAGGAAAAAAATGTAGGAAGAGTTATATGAGCCAACTGGAAGCACTAAGGAAATAAAAGAGAAAAAAAAGAAGAAAAAAATCTTTATTCTGTATCATGTATTTTTGAACAGAAATATAATCAACTATGATCAGCAAAAAAAATGGATGCTGGGAAATAAAAAAAAGTTGAGCAAAAAGTACATAATTTCATGTTTCAGCAAATAAGAAATAAATTCTGGACAACAGAAAAAAATTGCCAAAAATTTTGCATATGCATATATTTAAATCCATTTTTACAACTCACAGTGAGCATTTACAACCGTTTTGATCTTTAACAGGAAACATGAAAAATAAAGAAGAATGAAAAGGGAACTACTTTTCATGGCTGAGATGTCCATATTTATTTTTTCCCCATAGGCATTAAAATGGCAGTGAAGTATTCTGGGAAAGAGGCAAAGAATGAGAAAGGTGCAGATATATTTGACTGAAGTTTGTGCTTCAAAAGTACACTCTTTGTTTTAAAAACCAAATGATATTTATTTATAATAATCAATTCCATATGTGTTCTTTCTTTCTCTGGCTAAATTGTCAATATTTGAAATCAGTTTTAAAATGACACATGGCATTAAAATGATGGCACCTCTAACCAATGTGGCATTTCCATATTTACAACAACTAAAAAGAAATTTACAAGACATGATAGCATACAATCTTGACATTTAGTAATAGTGAAAAAACAAAATGGCATCTGGGCTTTTTCTGTACAACTATGAGAATAAGACTTCTATTCACATTTAAAAAAAAAAATCATCTGTAATTTGATCTGATCTACACATTTCCCAAATCCATTTCCCTCAGTTCTCCAACCTTTCATCACGTTGCCCACACCTTCACCGAACTAGAGGAACTACAAGTAATGAGATCTAAAATCTAAACAGAGCAAATCTCCTCTCTTTCCAATTTCTCTCCCGTCATCCTGATTATTAAAACTCATCCTTCTTTCCTTCTTTGTAATTCACTTTCACACTTCTCCCTCAAAACAACGAAACCTTTACTCAACTTCTTCTCAAGCAAAGTTAGAAAGAAACTGTATGATTTATGAATGCTACACCCAAGAGTCAGGGGACCCTGGATATTGTTCTGTTCTGTAAGAAGGTCGTCTGGTAGAATAGAAATCGACATAGTTTGTGGTTGATTTCAGTCCATACTGTGTTGCGTAATCCGTAGAAGCTGGGAAGTGAACCCGATCATCAAAATATGGGTCTTCGTAACTATGTGGGGATTGCAAATATAACCTATATGCATCGTAATGCTTTCTGTTGGAATCATCTTGACTGTAGTACAAGTGCTGATGCTATTTGGAAAATAAAATAAAAGCACAAGCAACATTATTCATTTTCTTAGAACTATACAACAGATTTCCATGCATAGAGAAGTAGCAGTAAATTAGTCATATAAGAGTTCTGTGATGACATTTCTACAGTGAGAAATAATATTTATCAAATCTTGCAGTTTATTTTTATTAGCCTTTTTTAGATCCACTTTCAAGAAGGCCAACAATGAGCCTGTATAATTTGCAGTATAATGAGTTAGTTTACAAGTACAGTGTGTATTTAAAATAATACTTTTGATTTGGTATTTGAGCCCGAGCATCTGTGGAGTCAAGAGACAGTTTCTTAATCAAGTATGAAGATTATGGTGATTATGCATGGTTCAATCTTTAAATAACAGTACTTTTTGTCCTCCCAAATGAGGATAGAGATAACCAACAGGAGATATTTATTCTTAGGAAACTGACTGCAGCCCATCTCAATCAGACACTTTCTTTGTTATTTAATGAAACATACTTAAACTACTCTTCTGAGGAACATGGTGGCTCACGTGGTTAGGGTGTGGCTGGAGGTTAGCAAGCCCATGTTCGAGACCCGAGTGCTGCCGTTGAGTTCCTGTCCTTCACTCCAGCTCCTGCCAGGAATATGAAAGGAGCCCCCAACCAGGAGTCCCCTGGACAATGGTGATGTCATGAGCTAACCCTTTCAACCCAGGAGAGCCTCGGCGCTTCTTTCACAAGTGCTATGCTAACTAGTCTCTTACACTTTTTTCAATCTTTTCTTCATGACAAAGTTGCAGTCTCCATTCAATACTTGTCCCATTGCCTATTCATTTAAAACTGCTAGAATGCTGCAAATGCATTATTTTCTCTCTTGCACAAATTTTGTTTGATCACCATACACAAACTACTGTCCTCTTTAGATAAATCATTCACCTATCTACAAGTTTCCATCTTTGATTACCCCCGGAGAAGAGCTGCTTTTTTATTATTAGTTTGTACTTTCTCACAATTCCTGGAAATTCAAAATCGTAAGAATTGTGCCCTGCATTCGAAAAAAGTTTATTACTATGAATATAGATAGAAAATCAAAGTGCCATATTGTTTCTTCAGCTGTTCCACTAGTAAGCTCATACACTAGGCATCTAATCAACCTCCTGCTAAAGGCATTTTTCTGTCTTGAGGATTTAGTTCTATGACATTTTTCATTCTTTGCTAATTGCAAATCTTGTCGTGCAATTGATTTTATAATTTTTCTTTTCCTAGTGGCACATTTTCAGGATGTGATTAATTATGCCTCGGTAGGAAAAAGTATTGTGCATGTATATGCCACCTGATGTGCAAATATTGCATATATACTTTCAGTGAAGATAGCAATAGCACTTAGACCAGGAATGTCAAACTCGATTTCTTCGAGGGCCGGATAAGCATTGTACTTTTCGTTGGGCTGGCTGGGGGGACAGGCAGGGGAAGATGGGATGGATGCCTCCTGCATCCTGCTGCAGGACCCTGTCCAGGCCAAAAATAGGGTGATGTGGGGGGGAGGCAGAGCACAGCCCCCCCCCCGTGCCCCATTTTGGCTTCCAGAGGCACCACAGGCCTGCTCTTTGCTATTTCCAGGCTGGCCCCATGGGCCCTGAGTTTGACACCCCTGACTTAAGATGTATATACCGCTTCACAGTGCTTTACAGCCCTCTCTAAGTGGTTTACAGAATCAGCATATTGCCCCAACAATCTGTATCCTCATTTTATTGACCTCAGAAGGATGGAAGGTTGAGTCAACGGGAATCGAACTGCTGAACTGCTAGCAGCCGGGAGTCAGCAGAAGTAGCCTTCAGTACTGCACTCTAACCACGGCGCCACCATGGCTCTTTCATACTCCTTTCATGTTCCACATTCCATTTTGGTATACCCATGGCTCCTTGCTTTTTATTTGTCTAAGTATTATTTGGAATGTCATTTTGCTTTTACTTATCAGACACATTTCTTAAGGTATAGAGATGTTTAGGACCTTGTTTCATCTACTGCCCTAACATGTTGGCCAGAGCTTTTCTTGGAGGGACGAGGAAATACATTTATATTCCTGTGCTAGTGGATATTTCTGGGGAACAAATCTTTTTTCCATAAAATTGGACAATTTTGCATGATTTCTCAGGATAACGCCCTGTTTAATGTCCTTTGATTACCGCAATGCCATTAACAGAGAAAGCACCCTCACTGGGATACAAACTGACCATCTTTAGAATAAGCTTCCACACCTTACCTGTAGGCGCCGATTTTGGTCCCTTGCTGGTGAGGAATAGGAACTGATATAAATTGGCGAAGGTTTACTAGACCCTGTAGGTAAATAGCAGTATTGTATCAAAACCAAATGTCATGCCAATTGATTATTTTATGCTTTATTGAAAGAACAAACAACCTTTTCAATCAATACATAGAAAGTAAGCTGATCTGATATCAGAAAAGTTCCACTGGTATTCAATACATTATTTTGGAAGCTGTTTTATGGCTGCTTAGCAAATATAACCTTAACTTGCTTAAGCTATGCTTTCCCGACCCCGACCCATGAACTTTCATAAATAAAGAAGTTAAACAGAGAGAATAATTTACATTTCTGCTTTCAGTTTCATTTTACTGGGCTCTTACCAGTGTAGATGTCTTTATGTGCAATCCCATCACCTTGGCTGTTATAATATTGCATAGAAGTCTGGGTCCTATCATATTCGGAACGAGGGTCTCTAATTCCCAAGAGTGCTGGTGAGGAAGATGTGCTGCCAACTGAGGAAAAGAAGGAGGCAGAGACGGGGGATCAAAACAAGAAGAGAGTATCAGATCCGTTCAGAAACTATACAGCTGCTTGATAATAATTAATTATTTGACTAGTGACAAAAAGAGGGCAACAAGTGTTTTATCTGACAATATTAATTGTGATCTTCTGGAAGAGAAACTTTGCAGACTCAGTGCAGCAAGTAATCTGTTAAGATTAGAAATATGATGACGCAGTTCAAATCTTAACTTCAAACCCCAACTCGAGCAGTTTATTGGTAGAATGTGCCTGTGAAAGTTCCGGAAAAGAAATTCCCATTTCAGTGGGAAATAAATAAATAAATATAAACTTTATATCTGAATACCAGACAATGATAAGCGTCAAGTAACCCTTATTTCTGCCACTCTTTCACCTCCAGTCTAGTGTATCTAATACCACATGTGTATTGCAGCATCTTTTGGAAGTCACATAGCTACATCTTGGCAGCTGGCAAGAAGCTGAACAGATCAATATGCTTGGACCCTGGAATTTCTAGGGTTTGCAGGACTTCAAAAATCCAGCCCTGTCTGATATGTTCATGATTTCTGGTCAGCTGAAGCCTTCCTGTATATCTCTTTTCGTCATCTTCTTGGCCATCCCTTATCCAGTGGGATAACATACCTGTGAGGATTGGACAAAGAAGTCCTACCTGGAGGTTGCAGCGAATGGTTATAGCTGTAGAATGCAGGGGCACAATATTCAGGAATGCAAGCAGGTGGGTATGGGGGCTAAAACTATATGTTGCCTCTCTGATTGGAGGAAGTTGTTGTTGGCCTTGGGGACAGGACTTTGCATACAGATAAAGGAAGAACTAGTTCCTCTCTTGCTTCTAATAAAATGAAAACTTGATTAATAGTAGTTAGATCTCTAGGCTGTTGAGCTTAATATTGTTTACACTGATGGGTGGATAACTGAGAGGGTTTCATTCAGGAGTTTGTTCCTGTCACATACATAGAGATAAGAAATTGAACCAAGGGCCATTCAAATGCTAAATTTGTACTCTCTCTCTGATCCAAGAGTTCCAGTATGAATATTGTTCGGGTTTAACTCTTTTTGATTGTGTTAGATTGCTTTATAAGTCATCTTGGAGAGAATTTGATTAAAAGTTTATAGTCTATCCTTACTTGGTTTTGTCATATCAAAATCAAGTCAGGAAAGACAGCTTCAACTGTATAGGAGAAGAGAGGCTGACAGAACAATTTTCTAAGGTTTCAGAAGATGTGTGCAGAACCCGTTTGGTTAATGAATATCAAGTTTGGCACATGCAAGAAAGTTGATTGACTGACCAGACTGAATAATAGGTGACATCTGCTGATTTGCTGTAGACAAGGAGGGATGTGACTTGAATCTGTCACGCTCAAGTGTTGACACAGGAGTAATAAAATGATTTTGATTCCAGCCATCCTGTGGAAAAAGGAAAAGAAGGTCACACGATAAATACATTCCGTTTAATTAAGAGTATTGTTTAGACTTCATTGTGGTGTTGAATCTTAATGAATATGATCTTTGTGAGAAGAGCAATTTGATATATTACCTTTTTATAAATGCTACGGAGATCACGATATTGCCATAATGTGTTGAGCACCTGGGCTGCTGCCTTGACAACCTTTAGTGATGATCTAAGAAGAAAAGATGTATCAGACATGCCCACACTTCACAATGAGTGGCATTCAGTGCTAAGTTACCATTAGGTAAAACAGTTTCCTTTAACACAATGGGAAGGCAATCATTTCCCCCTTGCAACTCCAAAATCTAATTCTGAAAGCAGAGCCTGCAGCTCTGAAAGTGAGAAGTCCTATTAACCTAACAGGGTTCTGCTAGCAACATTCCTTGATTGAAAATTAATTTCTGCTTTACATGAACCACAATTCATTTGAAAGAAAATCAATATATTATGATCAAAGTAACTATCGGCAACAAATAAATAACTGGATAAATTGGAAAGGGGTCTTTTTTGCCATGTATATGTATACATTCAAACTAAACTGTGATGTTTCTCTGTGTCATATATGTGTGTGTGTATGTGGGTATATGCATAATGGTTATCTTTTGAGAGCTGAATGCAACAAAATTTCATTTTAATGTATGCTGATTAGAGTACATTTCAAGTAACAATAAAGATCCTATCCTATCTCCCGATAAAACAGGTTATTACACACAGATACCAAAGGACATTGATTATACACATGGGGAACAAATGAGAAGTCAACCGAGTGTGCACAGCTTTTCATTTTTAAGAGATTAAAGTGCATAAAGGCTGTAAATAATTGATAAGTTAATAGAGAACTTATTTCATATGCTGATCCTTTTTGGATAGCATGATATGTGTGTTTCACACTGTATCGCAAAACCTTGCGCCAATTATGCCAATATATTGTGATGTTTATTTCAAAGCCACCTGGTGTAGGGAGTTAGACTGGCATGGACAGGTGTGCTTTTCTGATCTATCCAGATGTGTTCTTTATTTACGGAATGGCTATGGCATGGTTAAAGTACCTAGGAAGAATTAATCTAAGTGATTAAGAAAGAGAGGAAGACAAATATTCATTAAATCACCTGTAAGAAATGAACCTCTTTATAGACCTAATGAGGAAAGATACTATATGCTAGCCAGCATAATCTGGAGAATGCTTGATCAGGATGAGGGACTCCAAGTTACCAAAGGGATATGAGATTCTTTTCTATATTTACACTTCTCTGTTGGATGATGCCGGGCCTTGTTTAATTTCCTTGCCTATGAATATTTTCTATTTAATGCTTTTTAGTTAAAGTTACCCTTTTGCTAGGCTTTACATTTAGGCTTAACATTTGTGTTTTTATATGTGAGTTTATTGCTTTCAAGTCCACAAAACGCAAAATGCAGTGTTATTTAAATTTGGGTATTTCTGGATGAGAGGTTTTTTTTTTTTTTTTTAATGTGGAGATTCCCATGAATGGTTTGAGTATGTAGCCATTTCAAATAAAAACAGCAGGGCTGGGCTTTCATTAGAAGAAACGAGCTTGAATGTATCACACTTCATTTAAAAGTGCTTTAGTTACCAATCCATTTACAAGCCCGGTTAAAGATGCGGGTTTGGCTGACAGGATGTGAGTTCTGAACAGCTCCTTCCATATAAGCTGAAGGCAACAATTCTCAAATTAGTGTCCGTGACCCTCAAGAGGGCCACAAAAGGACCACTGTCATCTCCCTGCATTCACCATCAGCCAGCTGGCGGGGCACAACACACCACTTCAATCCCTACCTTTCCCTGCCAATGCAACTATAATTATCATTCAGTGAAAAATGGTATTATGTATGAACATGTAGGCAGGGGTTATTCTTTTAAATTGGAGATCCATGCACTTTTCAAATGTTTCTTTGGGATTCACATTCAAAGTTTAACAAACACTGGTCTAATTGTTTATGGAAATCAGGGTCCCTATCAGTGACGATCTTAAACATGACTTTTCTTTCCTTGAATTTTACTTTCCTTATCCTCTTTTATTTTGTTGTACCTTTTTGGTTTGATTTTCCTTATGCGATTGGAACATGAACACAGTGCCATTGATTTATTTATATTTTCCTCATATCCTTCCTTCTTTCCTTCCTTCCCTTCCTTCCTTCCATTTACACAATATTCTGCTCTGGCCCCAAGAATCTGAACTACTAAAAGTGAACATGATAGTAACATAATTCAAGGCCTTAGTAATAAGAATAAAATATTTTTAAAAAATTATATAATACAACTTAAAAAACAATCTCAGGCACCAATCTTATGATCTCCAAATACTTATTAAAGAGGCAGGGCCAAGATTTAATTCTTCTGAGTATTGGAGTCAAAAGAGACACAGTGACCGTGAAAAAAACACCTACTTTCACACCATTCCCTGTAATCTGATGAGGAGGAGAGCCCCAGACATCTCCTTAAAGGTTAATCAGATAAAATTGGTAGATTCTGTCTGAAGTAGGCAGCTCTGAAGGTAAATCTAGATCTATGCATATAAAGCTTTACAGGTAATAACTGGAAGCAAGCAGATAACTAATGCGGTACCTGAAGGATCAGTGTTACATGATCAAACCAGCGTTTACTTTAGGAATTTGATAATTCAACTGAAATGTACTTTTATGCATTTTGACAAATATAATGGCTAAAAAATATCCTCACACTTCTAAATAATCAAGATTGCATTATTGACTAGCATGGGGCAACAAAATTGCATACAAAAATGTGCCGAATTAGGGCCCCTGGCTTTGATTGGCAAATGCTTATGTAAAAATTCTTTTTGACAAACCTCATGCCATTTCAGGAGAATCCCACAACCCCAGGAACAATTTTTCATGGCATAGAAGTAGAGAGCAAGAATTCCTTTGGTACAAGTGACCCAATGTCCTAATCTGTGCAAAAGAATTGCATATTTTATCTAATTAAAAAAATCATCACTAAGTGACACTGAGAGCAAAGCAAGAGAGATAGCAAGATTTCCGACACAATTTAATGCTTCATTTCACTCTCTTTTTTCCAATGTCACAGCAGACATTCCCAGCAGTTTTTTCATGCTCTGCAACATAAGCCACCTTCTAATGATCAGACAAACGTATCAGTGGCATTTACAGAATTTTTTAAAATCCTGAAGCAGGAAAAGCGCTTACAAATAAATGCTCTACAACAAGGAGAATGGCAGGCACTTTGTGGACCTTATGAAAATGAAAACAGAAGAGACGCTAAGTTTCCTCTATTTCCTCCTAAACAAATATAAAAATATAAAGCTAGCCAGTGAATTTAATAAGCTGACAGTGCGGAAATAAACAGTTTCCCAAATCAACAGCTATTTCCTAATTTGATACATTCCTGTTCTCTGAAGCTGACAAAAGATTTTTATTGGAGAAATTCAAACATCTAGTACTGACCTGTCCCCTCTTCCTTTGGTTATGTTTACCAATTTTTCTATCCCTCCCGTATCAGCCAAGGCTTTGGCATTTTCCATGTTTTTACTGGTGACTTCGTGCAAAGCACAGCAGATGGCTGCTACTGTTTCATCAGAGAGAATGTTGGGCCCACTGCCTCCCGGAAGGCGATTTACCAAGTCCCGCATAGCATATTTACCTGGGAAAAAAAGGCTATGAATTATGCCACAGTACATACGTTCAACATCATAAAGAATGATGATACCGAGAAACACACACATTCAAAACAAGGGAAAGAGGTTCTATTTAATACAGGAAAACCAATTTCATAAAAAATAAATCGTCTATGCAACTCTTTAGAGCAGTGTTTCCCAACCCCAGCCATTTTTAGAGGGGGGGGCTTCAACTCCCAGAATTCTCCCTTACTGCTTAGGGAATTTGGAGAATTGAAGTCCATCCATCTTAAAAGTTGCTGAGGTTGAAAAACACTGGTTTAGAGGGGGAAAAGTAGGTGTTGCAACATCAGTTTTCCAATTTTAAAAAAAAGTATTAGACTCTTTTACTGGATTAGGAGAAATGTGATTAAAATGATTCTGGCAAGAAGCCAAAGTACACAAACATACACAAATCTGTTTACTTATTTTAGATAACCTTGTTTTAGCTGAGCCATTTTAAAGATAAAAAGACACAGTTGAATTAATTGCACAGCTTTCAATGTGATTTCTTGAAATACAGCAGACATTTCCTCACGGCTCCCCCCCCCCCCCCCCCCCCCCCCCAAGCGTAACTTGGAATACACAGACAACAAAACAAGATCAATGTTATGACCTAATCTTGGCTCTAGTGAGTATGGAGACAATAAATGTGCATAGAAGAGAAAAGCCAGTTATTCAGACTTTAAAAGATTTCATTTCATGAACAATTGAATAGGGCACAGATCCTGTTTACGTCACGTTTCAACTGTTACAAATAGTATCTGTGGATCTCTTAGAAAGAAAACGATGGACACCGCATGATAAAGAAAAGCAATGACCTCAAGCTTTGGGCTGATACAAGTTAGGGGCTTTTAATTAGCTACTTCTTATAAACATGAAATTTATATTTGGATGTAAATAATAATTAACTTAGATTTAACTAGACAATCCCATGCCGTGTTTGGGTCATCCTTTTCTAGATATTTCATTACTTAAACAAAGAAACAGAATGACCATGGGCAGATTGCTATTGAATCAAGGAATTCTACTGGAAAAGGAGCAGTGTTGGCTTCTTCACTGACAGTACTGAAGGAACAATATTTTTTCATCATTCCAGGGAAGTGTGTAATGCATGTGGAATTGATTTTTCTCACTGCTTCATTGAGAGGAACCCAAGATAAAAATACTTTGAGAACAGTTCTGCAGGATTCACCATTGAGTTGTAGGAGGCTGTCAGAATTAGTTTAAAAATAGGATCACATAACTTCCTGAGGGCTAGAACAGGATTAGTCTACCTCAGTCCTGTAGTCCGTGGACCCTTGTGTGTGTGTGTGTGTGTGTGTGTGTGTGCAATGTCATCACAGGCAGGGGTCCCCAACCCCTGGTCTGTGGCATGTCATCAAGCAAAGCGCAAAAAAGCAAAGCCCCATCTGCAACATTCAAAACCACGCCTCCTCCAGTTTGTGGAAAACCCTTTTTCCACAGAACCGGTCGGTCACTGGTGCTCAAAAGGTTGGGGGCCACTGATCACAGGGATCTGCGAAGGCTTTGAGAAATGTTATGACTGAAATCTTGAGTTAGGTCTTGGGGGGGGGGTGTTCCGTGGCCATGGCCACAAAAGGTATTTAAAAGGGTTCTGTGGCGACAAAAAGGTGGAGAACCACTGGTCTACCTGATCTCCAGTGACCGAAGGAGGGGAGCAGTCTATACTCATTTTCATTGTAAGAGCAGTTGAAAAATGAAACAGGCAAGGACTAAAATAAATTGGCCAATGCATTTGACTGGCATCAGAGAGGTCCAGTTTCTAGTTCATCTGCAGTCACAGCAGCTCACTAGGTGACCATTTCTGCCCATCATAACTCATAGGGTTGTTGTGAAGAAATACAGAATGAACTATATGCAGGTAGTCCTCGATTTACAACAGATCGCCTAGTGACAGTTCAAAGTTACAATGGCACTGAAAAAAGTGACTTATGACCATTTTTCACACTTATGACCATCACAGCATCTCCATGGTCATGTGATTTACATTCAGATGCTTGGTAACTGGTTCATATTTATGACGGTTGCAGTGTACCGGGGTCATGTCACCTTTTGTGACCTTCTGACAAGCCAAGTCAACGGGGAAGCCAGATTCACTTAACAGCCATGTCACTAATTTAACAACTGCAGAGATTCACTTAAGAACTGTGGCAAGAAAAGTTGTCCAATGGGGCAAAACTCACTTAACAAATTTCTCACTTAGCAACATGAATTTTGGGCTCAATTGTGGTTGTAAGTTAAGGACTACCTGTATGTACCTTAAATTCTTGAACAAAATGGGATAGTTACAGGTGCATGTTTGTGTGTCAGAGAAGGGGCAAATAAAGCATAAATATCCAGGCCTTTGTTTGTGCCATATACAGTTGCTTGTTTAAGAGCCACATGATGAGTCAATTCCTCACTGCTGGATGGGGAAGGAGCAAGGGATTACAAGACTGGCTGGGAAACTGTCATGGAATATTCAAAATGACCATCATGTGACTGCAGCAGTCTGAAGCAGTCACAACTCTCCCAAATTTCATTCTCTCAGGAGTCATTGGTCCCGTATTTTGGGCACACTTGGTAAGTTAGTCCATTTGAGGTCCCTCGGTTCAAACACTGTTGTCCTATGGTGCATCATTTTGTTCAAAGAAAGGACATGAGAAGTGTTTCAATAGTATATCGATGTGAAAAACATTAATTCTCTGCTATAGTAACTGCAGCCAACTCTCAGTATTTAAGTAAAAAGTATAAAATGTAACACATTTAAACATTTATATTGTCTCCTTACAGGAGGGGATGGGCTCTCCCCTCCAGTTGATGACAATTTCTGTGGTTCTCTTAGATTCTCAGCTTGTGCCTCATTGAAATGTGAACTGAGTATGTATCTCATCCTTTTTTCAGCACTTCTCTCATTTTTTACGAGCTGTTATGAGGCCTGTCAGATGATAAAACAGATGCAGCATAAATGGTTCTTCAAGTTACCCTGTCCATGATTTATCTGCTGAATGATTCTTATATTTTGCAGAAAATGTTGAAGCCTGTTTGAATTCATACATTTCATCAAGACATTAAGAATGTCTGAAGAAGCTAGAACATGGCTAACAAAATATTAGCACATTCTCATTATATCAGATGTATCACCCTGGAATAATTTCACTAATTGATCAAATCCATTGGTTTCCTTATTCTTTCAGCTAAACAAAATACCAAATTGCATTATTATGTACAGAGCCATATTATAAGTTTTTGCCCTACCTATGAATCGCTTTCTCGGGGGGCATACCTGCTCTTAGTATGTTTAAACTTCCCTATTTTCCTTGGTATTTTCCTAGCACAAATTTTAAATGCTTCCTTGCACAACTTTTTAATGAATTTAATAGTTTCTAATATTTTTAATAATTAATTTTGCAATCTCTCCACATATTGGGAGTATTTGAGGGAATGTTATGTCCACTGCCATTACCAAACAGGCACAGGGTATTGGAAGCATTGCAGCCAGAATTTGATTTCCTTCTACTTGATTTAAACTTCATAAAAAACTTGGGTTTAGATCTGAAAGTGTAACCTGTTATACTTTCTGACCTACAAGAAGGAATTATTTCTTGGCTGGCAAGCTGTATTTCAAGATAATTCATCTGGTCTGATTTTGAAAAATACCAAATCAACTCCTAATCATAGACTTTTCAGGAACTCAAACCAATTATCGAGACTGTATGAATAACCATATTAGTAAACATTCTTGCTTCATTTAGAAAAAGAAATCCAGAGGAAGAAGGGAAGAGAGGCTTAATGGTAAGAAATGGGTCTTACCTATCCACACTGTCATTTTGAGATAAATATAAAAGTTTAAAAAAAGGTTTTAAAATGATTTTTTTTAAAAAAAACACCTATAAATCTCCAAAGAGAAAGCACCATTAGAAGTTGTCAGAACCCACCATTAGATGTAAAAAGATCTTTAAGATTATGGTTATATTGAAATGAGAAAAAAAATCCAATCAAGTTCAGCAAATATAAATTTCAACGAAATTAATGTATCTTTGGTGGCAGTTTTTCACAGTGGAATGGCACGGAATGGATAATAGAATTCTAAAATGATTTTTTAAAAACATGTCTTCAAAGTTTCTTGTAGTTTGGATCATATCTCTCAATACTCACCAATAAGTTCCTTGTTACGCACATCTAATGCCATATTTCTTAGGGCTGTTGCCACGGAAGAAACAACTCTATCATTGTCCATTCTTAGCAATTCCACGAGAATTGGAAGTCCTTTCTCTTTCCTGACAGCAGCTCGAATATAAGCTGCAAACTGTTGCATAAAAATAAAAGTTACTTACAAGCCTTTTCTTATTTATGAATCCATCGAAATTACTTTTCAAAATGTACATTTTTATATCTTTTCAAACAAGTTTATTCTAACTATAAATGGGAATCCTGTATCCAGTTCCCATTAAATTAAGTGTGGGTTTGGCACTGATTGAGCATCGGAAGGCTTTTTCTTATGAGTCATAGAGATATAAAATGAATTAAAATACTAAATTATGTGATCATTGTTTCAATAGCCATTAAAGATGCAGTGACACTTATAGAATAAAGACAAAATGTTTGGAAAGTCAAGCTGCTGAAGCAATTTAACATAGCAGTATGTTATTTATTTATAAGTATCTTCCAAAGTACATATTTAAAAAATCTCTTGGAGTGACAAAGTACTTTGTAAAGTAACATTGATGAGCTCTGCAGAACAGAATTTGAAGTATTCAGTATTATCGTTCACTTTTTCTTACTTTTTGCTGGAAACCTAGCTATATTTCAGCAAAGTTAATTAGTTGAATTAAATTGTTTTTCTAGAAAAATGCTAGATTTATTAAATTTTACAATATAATCTAAAAAGTATGATAAATTATACTACACTGTTATAAAACTGTGTTCAGACAAGGCCATCCAGTATTCTTAACAGAATGCTATTTATAATACTCTTTTTAAAAAATATATCTTTTTTTGTTCTTGTTATATGCTGTAACATATTAGAAAAAATAGGAGGGAACAGTTGTAGCTTTGTCCTTGAAGTGAGGGAGAATTTGAAACTGTGGGACATATATTGCTGAATTGCCTTTTTAAAAAATGAAAATTTATAAGATACTTTTATTTCCCCATGAATATAACATAAATATCTGGGCAGCTGAGGCTGATTGCCTTAGTCTCTTGATAATTGACTGGAAGTAAGGATTCCAAAGAATGTAACTTATTTCAGAATTAGAACTATGGTATGATTAAACGTAAACAACTCCTCCAAATGAGGTGATGGTGAGCCTTAACTAGGCTTCCATAACTCAATATATTTTCTCTCTCCCCATTTCCTCCTTACCTTTTCTCTTTTCCTTTTAAATATGCACATAAATTTTACTCTGCCATTTCTTGGTTGTAATTGGACCATAATTGCTACAAATAACTAGGGAAGATAACTAAAAAACAACAACACCCAAAACCCTAAGTAACACTAGAATTTTAAAGATATTACAAAAATGTAAAGCTTTACTATCTTATATTAAGTCTAATACTTGCTGAAGCCCTGCAAAAGGTTCATTTTATCCCAACAACCCTTTGCAGGCCTTTAGCAAGTATTAGACGTAATATAAGCTAGTAATAGATTTACATTCTTGTAATGTCTTATAAATTCTAGTATTACTTATGCTTTTTAAAGTTATCTGTCCCAGTTATTTATAGCATTTAGATTATTCATTGTAAAATTAATTGTAATTTTATTGGATTCTCTCATGTTTTAATTCCTGCACTTTGTAATTTTTAACCTCACCTTATTTTATTCTATCCATTTGAATTTTTTTAATTTTTATGTCTGTTTTACAGTAATTGTTATGTTATTGGTTCTGTGCTGGTGTATGACCAAAATATAATTGATCAATACAAAATGTTTGAAATATAAGAATATCTTCAGATGCATCTTAACTTTTAGCATTTGATGAATTTAGTCATTGGATCTGAAAAGAATGCAATGGATATTCAAACAACTCTCTGATTTTCCACTTCTATTAAACAATGAATGTTGAGGAGCAATTGGTTTTGTTCAATTGGCCCATATATAAAGGCCTAACTATGCATGACAATGGTTGGAAAACCAGCTCAACATTTTGATGTAGAGCTGTGATATGCCTGCCAGGATCCCCAAACCATGCTGTCTGTTGTTCAGAAGGACAGAAGATTGTTTTGAGGCCCAAATATTACTTTCCTGGTCTTGCAATTATTGATAGCAATGGTAAGGTCATGAACTATATCAGCTTCAAGGCCAGCATAATTCTTCTTCTATTCTATGACTATATTAGAAGCCTGATAAAGCTAGGAAAATTCCTAGCATGCTCAGGGAATGTCTATTAACCTTCTCCTTTTTCTTGCTTGTTCCGATATCAAAGCTCTGATATAAGATAGGTAACAAGGGTTCTCAGATGGCTGAGAAAGAATGTATACATATACATTCTAAATACATATACCATATTTTTTTGAGTATAAGATGCTCCAAAGTATAAGACGCACTTAGCTTTTGGGGAGGAAAACAAGAAAAAATAATAATCTACCTCTGCCTCCCAATAATTTGCCTCCTTGCAGCAAACAGCAAATTGCCTGTTTCAGCTTTCAGCACAGCCTGATTAGCACGATCAGGTGTATCAGGCTGCAGGGATCGCCGTAGTCTATTGCCGCTTCCACGCGCCCCATTTTTGGCCTTTGCATCCCATTTTCAGCCTCTGCATGCCCCGTTTTTGGCCTCCGTGTGACCCATTTTCAGCCCGTTCCGGGCAGCGGAGATCAGAACGGGTGGAAAATGGGGTGTGTGGAGGCCAAAAATGAGTGCACGGAGGCCAAAAGTGAGATGCAGAGGCCAAAAATAAGGAGCACGGAGGTGGCAATAGGCGATGGCAATCCCAGCAGCCTGAAACAGCTGATCGTCCTGAGGTGATCCAACCAACAACCAGCTGCTTGTGCTAATCAGGCTGTGCTGAAGCTGAAACAGGCTGTTTGCTGTTAGGAGGCAAATTTCTGGGAGGCAGAGGCCAAAGGGTGGGGGCCGGCGGGTGGATGGGGCTTCAGCAACATTTGCTGTATAAGATACACAGACATTTTCACCCACTTTTGGGGGTAGAAAAAGTGTGTCTTATACACTGAAAAATACAGTACATATTCATCCTTCAAAATCCTACTTTCTTTTTCTACCCCTAAAATATATCCTATATATTTTATAGGATGTCGTTCCAGACTTCAGAATTGCAACCTAATGTTAAATCTAGTTAAGTTGCAAATGCACTGTAAAGAATCAAGCCAATTAATTTTACTAGCTGAATAACAGTGATAGGATCCACTTGCAGATTGACGTTTTGTTAGATGGAAATAATTCTAGAAATATTTCAGAAGAGACCTTGTGATTTCAAGCAAGTTTCTTGGATTAAAAAAATGTTTGCAGTTTTCTGTAATATTGCAACTTATACTGCAAATTGCACATTCTACGTCGCAAGTGTCTCTCCAATAAAGTACCAATGTTGCAAAGGCAGTAGGAATGAACCATTATGACTCCCAAGTTTCATACATTACCTTCCAGTTGCCTGCAGAAAGATTCTGAAGAGACCCTGCCGAACCCTCCAAAGTGGCTGGGTTAGAACTTTCAGCTAGAAGAGTTAGATATGGTTTTACTACAGATGGGTGCCACAACATTTCCACGCCTTTAGGAGATTTGGATAACCCTGGTATTGGACCAACTCCATCCCACTGTACAAAATAAACACAATAAAAATATTACATTCAAACAATTATTTCTTTTTATTGTGACTCAATGTTCTCATGAAAAGCTTCCACTGTAATATAAACAGATAATGGAAAAATTCTTTTAAGTGTTATACAAAAAAAAAAAAAAAGGGGGGGGGGGGAAGAGAAAAGAACCTGATCCTCTTGTGAAGTTTTTTTCTTTTTCTTCTTCTTTTTCCCCCAGCAGCTTGAATCAGAATCTTTGCTAGGTGATTCCTTCCCCAAAAAGTCATCCAGCTCACTGATGCCAAGAAGGCGGGCTTGAGGAACCTCCAGCTCTAGACGGTAAGAAAGGTTCCGAAGTGTGCACACACAGTTTTCGACTGTCTAAAAGTGAAGCAGAAGAGATTCAAAGAAATCCAATAGTGATTTTGGGCAGATAAATTTTAGAGAATATTTAGAGAATAAATAAGTTGAAGGGGAAGAAAGAAAGAAAATATTTTTCTGAGCACTCATAGTTTCACCATCACAATTCAAGAGGGATTATAAAGCTGTTTCTCCTTAAGTTTTCACTTCTCCAAGTAAAGCAATGAAGATTACATTTTTGAATATTTTAATATGGAATGATTAATATAAAAAATCATGTTAAATTCCCAAACTACTGCATTTCTCAAATCCTGAATTTGTGATATTGAAGTAATAAGAAACATCAGCCCTTTCTGAAATTTAACATGGCACCACAAAGCTGATTCTGTCTTTTTGGCTGTATTATGGCTGTGGGTTTTTTTTTTTAAATCTTTGCTGAAATAATGTAGATATTTCAAGATGTTGTATATCCCGGTTGTTTTCCTCATTTTGAAGTACTAACTTAATGAATTATTGTCAGTATCAGATAGTGCTAATATAGGTAACACCTTTCTGTAGGTGTTCACAAGCTTTATCACAATGAATCTTCCCTAAACAACAAGTACAGTTTATCTCTTAAAAATGCTAAATTAGAATAAGGGGAATAATATAGGAATTAGAAAGAGCTGAAAAGAAAGCAGCAGCAGCAACAAAACCCTTGTCTGTTTATTTAAGTTTTCTGTCCACACAAAAAATATACCAATAATAACTATACACATACAAAACATTCAGTGACAAAAAGACAAATTCTGACTAAAATAATATAGACACCTGTCAATTCTATGTAACTCTCGTTATGAAAAGATATTTGATAATTAAAGCATTTGCATACCTTGCTGTCATAATCAGAAGTGTTCACACACGTATGGATCACATATAACAAAGAATCAACCAATCCTTCACAAGATCTCATTTGTTTCCTTGCCTCTTCTCCTGCAGAACTTAAATTCCTAAGGCACAAAACAAAGCAAAAAATACAGCTCCTGTGATATATGCATGGGTGTTTTTTTATTATCTCAGCTATGCCTATACAACAAATTGATTATAGAAGAATATTTATTCAAGATGATACTACTGACTCGTGGGAAAGTATAAAAAAATCTGGAAGTGTTCGTTTTGACGTATGATGATTATTATGTACACATAGTTTATAGATCCGTGATGGCGAACCTATGCCACACGTGCTGGAAGTGGCACACAGAACCATCTCTCCAGGCATGCCAGCCATTGCCCATTTTTCTTCTGGAATCCGGCGCGCGCATGTGTACTGGTCTTCGCGCATGCAGGAGCGCCAGAAACCAGAAGAGCAGCTCCCCGGAGTGCATGCACTTGCCGGCCAGCTGGTCTTCATGCATTTGGAAGCACCAGAAAGCGGAAGAGCATCTCCCCGGAGCGCATGTGCGTGCTGGCCAACTGGTCTTTGTGTGCGCATGCACATTAGAAACCGGAAGACCAGGTGGCCGGCATTGGGAAGCTAAGCTGGCACTCCATGTGCGCTCCCGTTTTGGCATTCAGTGCCAAAAAGGTTAGCCCCCACTGTTATAGATAGTTCTAACAGGTTTTGCTACTTTTTACTATTGGATTCTTCTCAAGAATCTAAGATCGTTAAACACATTATCTGTTGTTGTTGTTGTACAAGGATACCATTGTTATTGTGTGCTAAATGAACAGGTAACCAAAACAACAATTTAACAGAAAGTCTATTTTTACAATGGGCAACAACTAATATTGTACAAACAGATTTCTGTCTCCCTTTCCATTTCTCTGATGTGCTCTGGTGTTTACCTCCAACCCTCTGGAGTTCATTTGGAGAATATAAACAAAAGGACAGAAAAGCCAGAGAATATAACAGCAATAGTGGACTAGCATCTCTGAATACAACATATTCTATTTTTCTCTAAGACCATTCGTATTTGGAGAGAAAATTCAGAATCTTCTACAATATTTACCAAGCCACAGCTTTCTTCAAATATTGTATCAGTTCAACTCTGATCAAGCTACATGTTCAAATTTGACATAAAATCTGTGAATGAGATCCTCCGTATCTCCCTTATGAGCCCCAAAACTATTGTGTTTCAAGTATCTGTTTAAAACCCATCTTTTTTGGCCTGTCTAGCCATGGTTCTACTTTAATTTGATGGTTAGGTTTTTTTGTGTGATTTTTAATTTTTTTATAGCTATTGTAATTTGCTTCTGGATTTTCAGTAAAATATCTGTTTCCCATTATTTATGTAGAGGGGTGCCTGATTATTATTTTTTTAATCCCTCAATAGGGAATTAACCCTCCCCATTTATCCGGGCTTGGGACCGGCATATAGATGTGTTACTATCTATATGGCTGGGTTGACAGTATTGGAATAATATTGCTGCAAAGTCACAAAAAGTAGCTTGGCAACAAGAATACTGTATATTATATACCATATTGTAATGTCTTGGAGGTCACATGGATAACATCAATGATAATGTTTGCAAACCCCATGGTACCTTTTAACATATGAGCACGGAAAATTTGAACTGATGGAATAATGTTTCCACCACATATATAACCACTAAGAACGGATATACCACCTGCAGAAACAATTTAGGGTCTCTTCAAGAACCAATAGCAGAGGCAAGATCAAGCATCCGAGAGACTGAAGAGGCTATAAAACAACTAAAGCAAGGCACAGCAGGTGGATGTGATGAGGTCACAGCAGAAGCACTTGAAGTCAGGAGGTAAACTTTGCTAAGAACTGTGCTCACTAATTGTGCACACCACTAATTGTCCACTTGCTGATCTAGACACCAAAGCAAGCCATCAGAGTCCCCCATACATTTTTAAAAAGGGGGGGAACAACCACAAGTGCAGAAGTTACCATGGGATCAATTTACTTTCTAAGGCTGATAAAAATATTCCAACTCCAAATACAAAAACAAAGAGAACAAGAGGCTTGCTGGTTTCTCTCCAAACCAGGCTTGCTATCACCAGATATTTATGTTACATCATATCATGGAAGAATGAATGCAGTTCAGCTAGTGCTGGCCTCTGAGGAAATGTCAAGCAAGATCCCCTGGTTCCTACAGCACAGATATAATATCTCAATCAGTTGAGTTTGCCTCAAAAGTGAACTATAAGAGGGTTTCCTGGAGTGCACTGGTTATGCCAAGATTGTGTCCCATTCTCACTGCTGTTCAATACTGCAACAGATGCCTTCATGAAAAAAAAATCTTCACTAATAAGCACGGAATTGAATATGGCCAGGGACAGCTCATCATTGACTTAATGTATGCAGATGACACTGCAATTTTTGCCATGGCAACATGGTCATTTGGATTGGTAATCGGAATGGAAAACATGAAAATATTGAGTGGCGATGGCTCATCAAGAGTCAAATAGCTAATGAGCTACAATTAAAAGAATTCAAATATTTCAGTTCCATAGTACAGAAAAAGTCCTCTCAACATCTCAGTGTAGGCGAAGTGATAAAAAATAAATCAGTGCCACCATCACAGCTTTTGGTTAACTTATTTGTTACTTACTGTTACTGTCTCTTACTTTTATTGTCTAACATTACCGTATACATCAATATTTCAGTCAGTAGAACTACCAGTGCTATTCTATGGGGCTGAATCACAGACAGTCCTACAATTAGAGATCTAAAAAGAAGATACCCTCCAAATGCATTGTCTCTGTAAGATCCTTGGCATCATGCTGATGGACTATATAAAAAAATGAAGCCATCCATCAGCAAAATAATCACTAGCCAGTAATAACTCATGAATTCCAAAAACAGTTATGGATGTAGCGTGGGCATAGTTGCATAACTTTTTATTTATTTGTATTCCTTTGTTATTTTTACAAATAATTCAAGGTGGTGAACATATCCAACGTTGCTTTTCTGATTTTTCTCACAACAACAATCTTTTGAGAGGAGGGGGGGAGAGGGGGTAGGAGGGAGGGAGAGAGATCCCCGATATTGGGCATAATTTACTCCCTTCCAAAGTATGCTGGAGAACATGACCTTGTGGCTGGAAAGTTCAGTGCAAGGCACCAAGGAAAACCTGAATAGGATAAATTGAAACTGAACCAGTCCTGCTGTAGACTGGATCTGAATCAAGCAAAAATCACAGTAATGGACAAAGCAGTTTTCCCAATGGCAGCCAGAGAAGTATACTGGTTGTAAAACTATATTTAGCCATTTGTGATGTTGGGAAATCAAGTTGTAGGATTTTGTATGATGAGAAATAGCATAGTCATATGGTGGGCCAGTCATATGATTGAGCACAGAAAATGTAAGATTTACAAAAGAGAAAAAAGAACCATTTCCCCATGGTAAATGCTTCCATTTTGTTCTTGTGGATCAGCAAGTTGTTATCCAGATACACAGTCACTAAAGAATGACCCATATGGCATACTCCTTGCCATGTGCTATTGCTGTCTGCCATATTCCTTGGTGTTGTAGGACATTGTCTGATTCAGAAACAGACCGTAGCTGAGGATTGTCACCCAAAAGATTTTGAAATTTGCAATTAATATGTAGCAAATCCTCAACTTTCTACTACTTTACTTAGAAAAATGGTGAAGTTTTATTTGTTCTAGATGTGCATGGAATATTCTTCTGTGAAAGGTTCCTGCAGGCTGGCTCAACCTTTCTGTGAAAGGTTCCTGCAGAAGACCCGCACAACTAATTCAAAGGACTGAAGAAAGAGGCATACAGAACAGCCACAGCTTTGGAAAAAAAGAGCATTTTCAAGGAAAAAAGATCTATAAAAGTTGTTTCTGTGGAGATGAGTCAGAGGTGCTGTTACTGGAGTTCACTGAATTTTAGATGACAAATGATGAAAGAAAATGATGCGACACAAGAGCAGAGGGACTGAGATGCTATTTCCTCCATCCCTGACACTGCACGAAGCAGGCAGCATTTGCTAAAACACGACTACATGTTAAGCTGCTATGATTTGTTGCTTGGCATGATGATAAAGAAGACAGTAACTTCTTGTTGTTTATTCTTTTCCCCCTGAACAATCACTTGTCTTTCCCTACATAAATTGTTGATAATAGCCTGTAGGAGCTTGAGGATTAGTGGTATGCTAGGACAAAGCAATGACTGAATACTGTAAGGATTACATTCTTTGAAATTGAATTTCCTGTCTGTCAACAGGTTCCAATTTTGGTGCTGGGCCATACTCAACAGTAATGGAGGTGAAGATAAATGATGAAGCAAGAAAGCGGTAATTGTCATCCTTTATCTTTGATAGTTTCCCTACTTATCTAGAAGCATGGAACATAGTAAGCAGCTTCTGCTACGCATTCTTTGCCAATCTAAGAAAAAACTAGAAGTAAAGGAATGGGCATCTGGTACACATACCTACTCATTCATAAAGGAATGGGCATCTGGTACACATACCTACTCATTCATAACTGGTGGAGACTGGATGATGTCCAATGCAAAATCCAATAGCCATTTGGATAAGCTTAAGGGTGAAATGAAATAATGTCTATTGGACCAGGAGTTTAAGAATGGTTTTCCTCATATGGTGGGAGAGATCCCTTGGTCATTTATCAACAAATCTCTGAAAGGGAATGGGCAGCTAATTCAAAACAAAAGCTTTTAAATCTAGTAATCACCCTAATAAATATATAAGCCAATGAGCTCCCAGAAAAGATTCTAAGAGGTAGTGAAGGGGCACCTGATTTGAATGGCAACTGAACTGAAATCTCCACTGAAGCTAAATTTGCTCGAACCAGCAATGCTAATGCTAAGGCAAAAATCATAAGTAGAACTAATTCTGTTACAGGCAAAGATACCTTATCCGGTTCTTATGTCAAAAGTACTACCTGGTTTTGAACTTGACATTTCAAAATCCCTGCAAGCCAATATGAAGTTCAGTAGTGCTGAGAACTTAAGGAATAAGGTTTCCTTGAGAAATTATCATACTGTTGTAAGATAAGAAAAGTCCACTTTTGAAACATAAAGATAGCCCACTGGAAGTAGTAAGTAACTTTTTATCACAAGATTTTATTTATTTTATAAATGTATATAGCCACTCATCTCACCAAAGGCAACCGATAAAGACCAGTAACCAGGAAAGGAGTTCTGAACTTATGGTGCTTGATAACTAAGAAAGGCTGTAAAATAAATTGAGTGGGTTTTTAGATTTTGAGGTGAAAGTCTACAGATTTATTTTTGAATCTGGATTTACAGAATGCAGCCGAGATCAAAACACCTTCCCCAAAGTAGAGCTGAAATAATGTAACTTAAACAATAGACTTTCATGCAAAATGGACATATTTGGCACTCATGGGCCTACTTAAACATTTTTGATAAAACACGAGAAGTGAATTTTGCTAATTAAGAGGAAAAAATGCAAACAAAACCCTCCAACAAACCATTGGACAAAACCAATCTCTTAGAGACATACATACTAGCTATTATTATATTGATTTTGATAGAAGTAATTTGTCTTAATTTTGCAATGCATGCATTAATAAAAACCATACACACATTGATAATATGCTACAAAATAAATTATTACTTTGATCTGGACCAAATCAACTAGGCTAACTTTGAATTAGTATTTAATCAAATACACATAATTATTTTGTTCATATAATAGTATATCTTTGGGTCTACATTTGCAGCACTTCTTTTACTCCTGAAAAGAAAGAATATTAGCTTCAATTACAAAGATGAATGGTTTAAAAGGATGCATAAGCATTTACTAGTTAAGGTGATTATTATGAAACTATGACTTTACCTTAGACAACCTGTTGTGTTGCGCAGAACTAAAGAAGTTTGGAATTTAATTTTATGATCATCATCAAAGGAAGAATTATTCCATCCAGAATGAGGAACTATCACACTGTTTGTTAATGTTCCTAGAGCATCTCGGATGATTGTCATTTTTACTGCATCACACGAAGACAGGTTCCAGAGGACACCTTTGGAAAAAAAGATGTATCATATGTTGTAACAGAAAAGACCAAAAGACGTATCAGCTTCAACTATCATTTCAAAAGAGCAAAGGACTGACAACAGTAAGCCCAGTACAATTTAAAACAACAACAATGATCATAATGTTGGCAATTTTAATATAAATGCAACCATTACCACTGCCTAACACCAAAATATCATTTTTTTTTCCTATGTGTTTTTAGTCTGCCAACTTGGAACACTGAATATATTGCAAATAAGGAGCTCTTACTAGGTCTATAAAACATGAAGTGGTCACAGCTATTGATGATTTTATAAATCAGGAAGAACTTAGAATGGCATGAGATTGCAGTGCAAATGGTGAATTGATCCAACCTAAACACCAATCCCACATCCATTTTCTCTGGAGTAAGCTCCACTGAACCCAAAAACAAATATAGCATTGTGTACTGCTTTATAAAGGTTTTCCTATATATTTCTGTATATTCTAAGAAATGAAACGCACCCGCCATTTATAAAGGAAATACAAAGGAGTGATTTAGGAAATATGTAAGATTTTTGACTCAAGGTATTGTTAAAAATTGATTCAGTGTTATAATGGGTGAGTTATTTTTCAAAGAATCAGAATATAAAACAATCACTGTGATGGATTTATTGTAGATGAAATTACAAAAGCTATTTTTATAAATAATGAATATAATGGTATTATATTCCTTATCTTCATAAAGATTGAAAAAAAAGAAAGAAAGAAAAAGAAAAAAAAGTATTGCATGTATGAATCTGCAAATAAAGCCTGCACTTCTTTCTGCAGCTTTATAAATAATACTCCAATTCATAGCCCCAAAGAAACATTTAGGACTTTTTCCCTTAAAAAAAAAATCAAATAAGGGTGATCATTATAAGTGTGCTCAGTGAAGCTTGGTGTCGAGAAAATAAATGAGTCTTTCTTCGTCTTTCAAAATTCTGAACAGTGGGGTCATCCAAGGAAGCAAAACGTGTGGGATTCAGAACAGACAAGAAATACTTTTTAAAGACACTGGCACAGTTAAAACTAGGTAATCATGCTGACATATCCTGATGACTGTTTTGCTTGAATGGCTTTAAAAGAGGCAAATTCATGGAAGATAAAAGCCCATTAATGGCTACAATCATAAGCCTGACCTAATGTGTAGCACTTATTGAGTCACTATAGTTTGTCAGAGACTTGAAGTGGTTTCAGCACAGGTTTTTCTTTTACAATCTTCCTGAACTAACATTTACTTCACTGTTCAAATTTAACGCTTGACAAATATTTACAAGAAGAGAATTTGAAATAACAATAATCTGTCTCACCAAATTGCAAAATATTTTTTGGGCCAAACTTCTTTAACAATGTATTTTTCCCCCTTAGATTGTTCTGTAAAGGTAAAATGATATTTCCAATATCTGGAAATTCTGAGCAGTCTCTTCTTAACAAATATTCTGTTAGCATCTGGATACCAAAGAAGGAATGTAAAATTCCAACATTTCTCATTTTATGGTTCTTTCTCCACTGTCAATAGATCAGTATTAGAGCAGCAAAAATAGGATACTCTCTATGAAATTGGCTGTCAGTTTTTCCTCCCAGAATCCTATCTGTTTTATCTGTGACCAAACTTTGGGGAGAATTTCTATATATGAATAACTAATACTCCCAACCAAATACTTCCTTTGCATAGTTCATCACTCTATAGAATTGTTTTTATTTTATAATATTTATTAATTTTATGGGTACAATTATCCAACCATTTTTGACTTCTTGGTATAAACAGGAATGTCACAAATAAAATCTGAACTAAAAAAAATCCTAATTGCTGGTCAAGCGACAGTGCTATTTAAAATAACTTCTCCAGTATCTGAAATGGGTAATAATCTTCCCAGAATTTGAAAAATGGGGAGAATTTTGAGAACCCAATTGATTTTGTTACGGATTATCTCTTTCATCATAATTTCATTTCATATCATCCAATAAACCAGTAGGCATCACCCATAAAGAAACTGTAGTGAAGAGTTAATTTTTATAAAATATAGCAAAATCGCTTAGACTTACATACAGCTTCACAGTACTTTACAGCCTTCTCTAAGTGGTTTACAGAGCCAGCATATTGCCCCCAACAATCTGGGTCCTCATTTTACCCACTGCAGAAGGATATAGACTGAGTAAACCTTCAGTCAGGGAGACTCGAACTGCCGAACTGCAGGCAGCTGGCAGTCAGCAGAAGAAGCCTGCAAGTGCAGTACTGCATTCTAACCACTGCGCTACTGTGGCTCAAAATATGATTTCCATTCTTTTACCAATTCAAACATGTTAGACAACATGTTGTGTGAACGTGTAAAATTTGTTTCCCTTCTCTCTTCCTTCCCTTGTAGTCCTCAACTTACAACAGTTCATTTAGTGTCCAAAGTTACAATGGCACTGAAAAAAACTGGCTTACAACTGTTTTTCACTCTTACAACCGTTTCACCATCCCCTTGGTCACATGATCAAAATTCAAGTGCTTAGCCACTGACTCATACTTATGACGGTTGCAGTGTCCTGGGGGTTATGTGATTATCTTTTGCAACCTTCTGACAAGCAAAGTCAATGGGGAAGCCAGATTCATTTAACAACCTTGCTACTAACTTAACAATTGCAGCAACTGTGTAAAATGGGGCAAAATTTACTTAACAATTGTCTTACTTAGTAAGAGAAATGTTGGGCTCAAGTTTGATCTTAAGTTAAGGACTAGCTGTATAGTTATAGAAAAGACAAAAGATTTATACAGGCCCAGGAAAATGACATTTGCATAATAGTTGTACATATAGTCCATTCTTAAGGACAGTTGGCTTCAACAAGCAGAGTCAACAGAGAAGCCAACAATAAAATTGTAAGTCAGAGTCATGTCTTCTTTAATGACTGAGGATGATTTGCTTAACAACTACGGGGGAAGTAAGATCATAAGTCTGTCATGATCATGTGATGACTTACTTAATGACCATGTTGCTTAATGACAGAATTGCCAACCCTGATTGTGCTAGTTAAGCAAGGGTTACTTGTAATAGACAATTGGAGGCGAAAGTCTATTTACCAAGATTTGGGGGGCAATTATTCAGCAAACATGATGGGCTGCAAACAGGAATAACACTTAATTAAATTTGACATGGTTTAGTTGCAACTAATTACTGACATGCTTGCATTAATATCTCAGAGGAAATGGAAAGTGCTATTTTTCATACTCAATGCTAAATATGACTGATGAGTAATGGCACCACAATATACATTTGTCCAGGTGCCTCCTTATTCTTTTCTTCAGGTAACTAATCACTTTGCACTGCGAATAAATTCATATTCTAAAAAGAAGATATAGAAAAAGACACAAACTGCCTGAATCACTTTTAAAATGACTAAAATCTTCCTAGTTTAATCACAGTTGGCTCCAAAATATTCTATATCATTTCTGACCACAATTTTGATTCAGCTTTAGATTGTATGATATATATTCCCTTATTACTTGAACAGTAGAATGATAATTCTGTTCTTAAGTTATTACAAACAGTCCCTAACTTCTTGCAAAGATACCCGAGAAGGGAGAATAAATGAAATTTCAATGAAAATTCTAATAAAAATGGGGAAATGTCTTAAGATCAGTTTCAATGTCACCACAAAATTTATAATTTTGAAACCAAATTTAAATATAAAGTGTAAAGAGCGCATTTAAATAAATATTCATGTATCCATAATTACAGCAATATTATGTATTCTTCCTTGCACTTGGAGGTGTAACACACCAGGAAATCCTGATTTCATGTGAAAGTATGCTATTCTGTTAATTTGTATGTGCAGAATCAATCCCTCAGTGTAAGTATAATGTTAAGTGCATATAATTCCCTCCACCCAATAGTACTATTTTATTTTTAACACAAGCCTAACATTAAACTTAAATCAGGCTAGTTTGAGGCCAGCATCTATGGTTATTAGTTGTGTCATTTTCCGGCTGCTGTGCTGAACTATTCTCCATCCAGTACTGCAATTTATTGGAGGCTTGCATCTGATGTTTATGTGCAGGGCAAGCTGTTGTAGGCGTTCATGCAGAAAGAATAAGTTGTTCCTTGGTGGAGGTTTGCCTACATGCAAATTTCTGCCATTTGCATGCTTATTGAAGCGTACAACATCCATACGTGGCTCCATCAAAAGAGAATGTATGTAGCTCAGGATTGAACTATGGAGTCCTTAGTGTTCTCTGGGCTTAGCTGTTTGCAGATGTTTTGTTACCTGACTAACTTCATTAGGTAACAACATTAACAGTATCATGAAAGCCTGAAAGTAAGATTCTTCTGCTGTCAACTTTTAATAGCCTGATTTATTAGGGTGGGTCCTTCCTAAGTTTCTTTTTCTGGCTTTTAAGCCACTGGGGAGCTTTTCCACTCTTGGCTGATTTTTCTCTAGGCCAGGGGTCCCCCAATTCCCAGGCTGCGGCCCACTACCAGGCCTTGAGCCCTTTGGAACCGAGCCGCAAAAGTGGTGGGTGAGTGTGCACGTTTGCATGCCAATTGCGCAGAACCATCCCTCCCCTCAGGGCCAGTCCACAAAGCCAGAAAGGTTGGGGAACTCTGCTCTAGGCAGCATCTTTTCCTCTCATCCATCAAGGTCTTTCCCACATGCCAATGTATTATCCAACTAAGTATCATCATTCATGAAAAATATGAATACTAGAGTTTGAGAGAATCATGGCAATGTTAGAGCTAATGTTATGAATATTACATTGAATATTATGTAAAATATTATGCATACCTTCTGTCTGTGTAATGGAATATTCAGAAACTTTGGTATTATGCATGATCCATGACATGGCTGGAAAATGCACTTTGGCCAAAATTGGCATTTGTTATATACTAAATTGCCAGAGGGACTAGTTTAATAACATCATGCTATCTACGTACTCTTTTAATTTAATCATATTGTCATCTAAGTAGTTAGTATAAGCAGCAGTTCAATAACATCCTGAATGAAATGATAAAAAAAAAGAATATTTGTTCAATATCCTGGGAAAAAAATAAGTACAGGTAGGCCTTGACTTATGAGCTTAATTGAATCCAGAATTATGGTCATATGTTGTGTTGGTCACTAAGCAGGTCACCATGTGAACGTGCCAGATTTCATGACCTTTCTTCTAGCAGTTCTTAAGTGATCCCATGGTCATTAAATGAACACAGTGTTTAAGCAAACCGTTTAAGACAATGGATGTTTGTTGTGTGAAATGGAAATAAAAGCAGTTTCCGGCAAAAAATGTTGCAAATTGTGGTTATGTGACCTTAAGACATTGCAAATGGCTGTAAAAGTAGGCCAATTTTCAAATGCCCAAAATGCAAACACATGATGACTGTGACTGTCATAACTTTGAAATTGGGTCATAAGTAGCTCTGGGGAGGTCCGTCGTAACTTTGCAAGAGAAGGACTTCCTACAGCACTATAGTTGCAATATTGCTGTTTCTTCTGACTACTGACCTATACCAGGATTGGCAAAGAATATCAATAGAATTCCAAATTCCTCTTTTTTCAAATTATTGGAGCTACCAAAAATAGCTGTTGTAATATTATTCTCTATCATAAACAATTATATCATGATTTTTGTTTCTGTCTTAGTTTTGGGATGGAGAAATGCAGGAAACAGTTGTCAACTCACTGTATGTGAGTATTCAGAGTGAATGACTAAGTAGTGATGGAACAATTTTCTAGGAAGGTTGAAGGCGTCAGGTTAAGTAGGTTAGAAGCACCAGATTTATTGAACTAAAAGTTGTCTGCAGAGATATGTCGAATAGAGATAGTTTTCAAGAATGTAGGGGAGCGAAGAGAAAAAAGTCTATGTTCTACCTCTCTTCTTTAATTAAATCTCCATGTATTGCATATTTCCTTGTTCTTTACAACTTGCAAAAACTAACAACATTCCAGAAGTTCAGTTTGGCTAATGCTTAATGCATGTGTCACACTTTGTAAAGCAGAGCGAAATGTGTGAATATTTCCTAACACTGTGAATAATTTTCTAAAACTGCAATCAACCATGTGTGTCAGAAGTTGAGATTTCTGAATTTGAAAGGGATTATTTTAAAGTGAATAGTTACAGTGTTTACAAGCACAAACTACCCATAAGATATAAACTCCCTAGCTTGCCAGTACTTGAATTTAAAATAAGATATGGAGGAAGTGAATCTGCCCACAGACTTTAGATTCAGCTGGTGTCAATAAGTGTTACAACGTTGTGTTCTCACAGAATATATTTCCCAAATTAGGGGATCAGTCTTCTCTATTGGCAGTTGTAAATATCATCGGATTTCAGATACCCAAGGATTAAAAATATATTTAAACATGCTTGGATTAGTAAAATAGAATTTTTATCATGAAGAAAATACACAGCACATTTCTGAATACAATGAAATCATGTAAATATACTAAACATCCTACACTGTTTAAATAATTTCTAGAGAGAATATAGGCTTTTAGGCAATATTTTAAATTTTTACCGTTATAAATACAAACTTGTAGAAGAAAATATTTGTAGTTTAGGATTGAACTGTGGGGCCCTTGGTGCTCTCTGAGCTTGGTGGTTTTCTTGTAGGCATTTTATTACCAAAATAGGTAACATCATCAGTGCTGATTAGCACTGATGATGTTATTTAATTTGGTAATGAAGTGTCTCCAAGAAAACCACCAAGCTCAGAGAACACAAAAGATCCCAATACAATCTTATGCATATCCAACCAGAGGTAAGGCTTACTCATATATAAGATATCATGAACTGTTTTGGATAGCACTTATATCACTTATATCTTCAGATCTTTGCAAAAGAACATGCTGGCCAGAACTGATAGAAAAATGATAGGATATGCATCTGATATGCAAAGCATCTGGAGGAAACCAAGTCATCTAACTCTGGTATAAGTCTCAGTGAACCAAACAGACTCACCTTAGATCTGTGACAATTACCATATTTTTCAGACTATAAGATGCAACCCCCCCCCCCAAAAGTGGGTGGAAGTGTCTGTGCATCTTAAGAGTGAATACTGGCTCATTTTTGTTCTCCCAAACCCTCCGTGCATCCTATTTTTTCCTTCCCTGGTGTCCAGAAACACTCTGCAAGCCAAAAATGCACCCATTTTTGGCCTCCGAACGCCTTTATGGGTCCCATTTTTGCCCTCCTTGGCGAGGCCGAAAACGGGACCCTAGAGGCCTCCGCAGGCCAAAAATGGGTGCATTTTTGGCCTGTAATGCTTCTGGATGCCAGGGAGGGCAAAAACAGGACACGCAGAAGGAAAAAACTATTTTCTTGTTTTCCTTTTCTAAACCTAGGTGCGTCTTATGGTCTGAAAAATATGCTATTTTTTTCAAACAAATGATAACTATTTCTAAGGAAGGCTTTTTCTTGCACGTTTATTCATTGTACCTGACTATACATCATTTATTTCCTATCTATTAAAAATTACCTGTGACAAGTTCTCTTACTTCTGCATCAATTGATTTTCTTAGTAACCGTAAAAGTGCAGCTATTCCACCAACATTTTTCATTGCTATCTTATTTTCATCTGTAGATTTCCCAAATACCAGGTTTCGCAGTGCCCCACAAGCATTCTTCTGAACTTCAAGAACTCTGTGGTCTAACAGGTCAACCAAGTGCTTGATTCCTCCTAACCTGCACACCTATAAATTATATTGAATAAAGCATTCAGTGAATATATGAAATGAAATTCTGGAAAAATACATTTTTCTCATACAATTGCATAGACCAAATTTACTGTCCACCTATTTAACATTTGGGATTTTTAGTTGATATACAACATGTCTAATTTATTGAAATATAGTGTTGTGTATAGTGTTTGTATTACCTAACTCCCATTTTCAGTTAAAGTGAAAGTTCTTACGCTCAATAAACTGGAATTAAATATGAATTACACATATTTTAGTAAAACTGATTAACAGTAATTTCATAAACAAGTTTGGCTGCATTTCAACAGTCTAGAGATGCACTTTTCTCAATCTTAAAATCTTTCATATGATTGTAAAAATAATATCCAGTTTTGTTTTAGGATTGGAATCGAATAGTTTTATTCCAAAAATTAGCTGCTTCAAATGTTTTCATTCCAGGTGTTTCAACTGCTGCCTGCTGTTCTGAGCTTTGTGATTAGGATTCCCCCCTCACGTTTTTCTAGTTCAATCAATCAGTACTCAGTGTTATTGGTTTGGAGTTATTGTAATAGACAGATGTAAGAATGGAGTGCTGAAAAGAAAGCAGCAAATAAGGATGTAGGCAGAGAAAATATTGCTTTTTAGCTACATTTCTGCCAGTCTTTCTGGTTACTGGTTTTTTTTTAATGCTCCATTCATTTTGGCATTGTTGTTATTATTAATATATTAATTATCAAAACCTAAACATAGGTCTCATTTTGTCCATGCTACAGATGTAGCAGACGTAGACAATTTGAAGGAACTTTGATCAAAATGTTATGGAAAGACAAGGTAATCTGTGCTACTTATCTACTACTGATATAGAGGAATTGGCCAACTTAGAAAAAGAAAGAAAACAACATAGGAACGAAAATAATGTAGTATATTTGGTGTTTGCCAAGATAACTTGTTTATCTCCTACTGGAAAGCAAACAATGGAAATAATGTAGTTCAAATCATCTTTGTAATTCATAGTGTTGCTTCAGTCTCAGGTGATCTCAATATTAATGAGTAAATCCCATCTCTGTATAAATATACTTGCTATTTGAATTGCTAAGGACAAAATCTAAGAAAATATTTATGCTTTTGTCCTAGAATTTGAAAATCTATAAAAGTCTGCACTGGGGATTTTTAATTCCCTTATAAATAGAGAAAATATGAAAAACAAAACCAGAAACAACTTTCAATTTGTTTATCTTGAAATTGGCTTAATAAGATTATATTTATACAGAATATCTATTTCCTAATATAAATACTGTATTGTAAACACAGGAGAGAGATGGATTTCTTCAATGTTTAAGAAGTGGCAAATAATATTGTGTGTCTCCAACAATACGCCCCCCGCCCCAGGAAATCCCTGCATGTTTTCTAGGCATAAAATTAAATTAAGTCCCTCCCCCCAAATTTAGGCCTATTTTAAAACATGCGAAATGGGGGGAAAGGCGGGGGGACTTGCCGTTAGAAGCACCCCACAGGCAGCCATGCCTCGCCACCAGCCGCTCCTAACGGCCGATCATGGCAGAGCATGGAGGGCTCCCTACTCCTGCCAAGCCCCTTTGCTGCAGACCCGGGTCAGCGGGCGGGCGTCGTCGTGGATGTCTGCCAGCAGCATTTCAGCCGCTTCTTGGGCCTCTGTAGCTTCCATGGTTCCCGCCGGCGCTGCCGCTGTTGTTGGAGACGGTGCTGGCAAGAGAGGGACAGCTGCAGTTCGGCCTGGGCACGCTTGGAATGCAGGAATGCTCACTGGGACTTTTGGAAACTTGCAGAGCCCAAGGCTAGAGCACCAAGGGTAGCAGTGGCAGAGACGCTCGCTTGACTTTTCTCATGCCCAACCAGCCGCTTGGGATTAAATGAAAACGCACCTCGTGGGCCCGAGAAGTGGCTGAAACGCTGCCAGTGGACATCCACGCTGCCACCACCCGCTGACCTGGGTCTGCAGCAAAGGTGCTTGGCGGGGGTAGGGAGCCCTCCACACTCAGCCATGATCGGCAGTTAGGAGTGGCGGGTGGTGAGGCATGGCTGCCCGCGGAGCACTCTAGGCGAGGGTGCACGCGGGGGGTGGGTGGGGGGGTGGTAGAAATTAATTCACCCCCGGAAAGACGTCCTAGCCGTTTTTTCTGGGCTCCAAAAAAAAAAAAAAGACCCGCCCTTATTATATGAGAAACACGGTACTGGAAAGCATACTTTCAGTAATTCAAAGTTAAACAAGATTCTTTGTACTATTATTTTCCCTTCCATTTCATATATTTATAACTTTCACTAAAAACTTCATAAATATTCATACACTTGCTTTAAAAAGCTAGTGAGAGAGAAAATTGAGATTTTAAAAATCTCCCCCATTAGCCTTATATGCAAATATTTAGAAAATGTTCTACTAAAGTTGCCAGGGTTGGTTTCTAAATATATGAGCAAAATATTATGTTAATGAGGGAAATAGCTAATTGCACAATGGTGTTCTAGTGACCATAATAAAGTTTAAAAGCATGACTATATTTCCATTACAGGATTTTTCAGTTCATAGAGTTTACAGTGTCTAACCTGATAAGTATTTCAATGTTAAACCATATGTTCTAACAGTTATGAAATATTATTTAATGACAGTTGATCAGTAAGAAGTGTTCCATACCTCGGTTTTTATTTTATTATCTCCAAAGCACAGATGCTGTAGGTAGGCTGCAGCATTCGCCTGAACTGATGGAAACTGGTGCTGAAGCATATGAATGACTTCCGGCAACTCTGGATCCCGCCATGCAAATTCTCTTCAGTAGATAAGAAAATTCAAAGGAAAGAGTGAATGCATTGATATTTTATGAAATTTATTTGTTATCTCCCAAGAAAGGTGGGTTTAGGGATGTGTGTCATGTAACATTTGTATCTAACAATAGTTTGAATATTTGGACATCAGCACAACTAAACTAAACTAAACCAGAGGTGAAAAACTTGCAGAATGAAATTGAAAGAATCATTTAAGGATTTATTATTATTATTCTAGTGCTAATTGCATGTAACTGATTAAAGTATCATTTATACTTGCCTGGGATCTTTCTGGATGCTGTCTATAGATGGAGATCTTGTTGTTCCATCATCAGCAGGGACTGCATGTTGCATTCTGTTATAATTCGATTCAGACATCCGATAATGAAGTGATCTATAGGGTTCTGCGTAGGTAACTGTTGTGTTCAGCGCGTAATTATTTCTTTGGTATGTAAGAGTGCTACGCTGACTAGATGATCTTTGCAGATTTCCAACACCTGGTATACCAAATAATTATGAGAATACTCCCCTGTATGGTTAACAAACATACAGTATACATAGATACCGGCATATATGCTTTGTCATTGACTTCCTTTTAATTCCTTTTCAAGAATGTTAAAAATATCTGGAATACTTTTCTATTAATTTGGGAAGAATGAAACTAAGCAGAAGATAGTTGTGACCCTAAAATAAGTTGAAACTAATGCAGTCTTTTTCAACTTCAGCAACTTCAAGACTTATGGGCTTTTTCAGAATTCCCCTAGCCAACATGCTAGGGGGCAGGGAGAAGAGGGATTCTGGGAGTTGAAGCCCACACAACATAAAGCTGCTAAAGCTAAGAAACACTGGATTAATGGCTCCTAGGTTCATCATTATTTTCTCTGCTGAGCCAATCAAAGGCTTATGAATATTAAAGGTAATAAATTTATCCTAGTACTGCTCTCATAAATTATATTTGGAAGTAAGCATTTAACAACATTCTAAGGTTTATTGCTAAATAAATAGCAATAGTATTGTTCACAAAGTGGAGGAGGGCTTATGCGAGAGACAAATTCCGCAATGCCTTTTCTCATATTGCTTGTCATAGATCTACAATCCTCCAGAAGGTTTTTATGGGATTCAAAGGAGAGGAATAGTTGAGGTACTTCCTTCTGTGAACTTCCTTAAGGTAAGTTATTTTAGGATGCAAGGTACAGTGTTATGTAAAAAAAATATATTTTGAGGTTTAATTTCAGTACTGATCAACTTTTTAATCTCTTACATTTTATCTTCCAAATGGGTTAGTCATAAAGGTGATAAATAGAGCTAAATCCATATTTAGCCTTTCTTTGAAGTTAATCAACTGAAATTAATGGAATATAAATTAGCCATGACAAAAATTGGATTTGGTTTGCAATAAATAATGCATTTAGTTAATGACTTGCTTAGAACTAAAATAAATTTGGCCTACAATAATACTTTCCTACATTTTCCTCCCTGCAAATCACAACATCTGCTCCAAATTTGCTTTGTTTTTGTTTTTTTTAAAAGCAAAATACTATTTTTTCACTAAGCATTCAAACTAAACAGTGTTTAATGTTTACATTGTTTTATACTTTATATCAAAACATAGGAATATTGTTTCAACCTCAAAGGTTGCCTTTGTGCAAATTATCTCTAAATCAGCCTACCTTATCCTATGTTTCTGGATGAAAGGTGGAATATAAATCTAACCACAACAATAAGAATATAATGCTGGTATAGATGTTTTAGGATAATAGAGAAATCACAATTTCAAACTTACCTGAGCCAGTTCGATATAATGCAGTTTGGGATCCTTGGGATACATCACCTGTTCCATGGCTTGGACTGTGGTATACTGGACTATAATAAGGTCTACCTTCATAAATGGGAGTGATATGTAAATCAGGAGATACATTAGAACGTAACTCCTGTCCAAGTTGACTATGTTGACTAGCATATGAACTCCTTAAGCCTACAAAAGAATAAAACATAAAAAAGTAATAAATGGCAATTATCACGGTATGATGATTACCATGAGTAATCTATTTTTCTTCCCCCAGATTTTTGTCAGTACTTGGGGGGAAAAAAGCCACAAGAAAAGTTCACTGCCTCAAAAGAGGAAATACTGAAGTAAGTAGGAAATAATTTAAGCCAAATAAATTCATGTCCAGACTTAGACTTTTTGAATGAATTGGCATCCTGTTATTTATTGCCCTTTATTACTCCTAAAATTTTCACTACTTACTAACTTCTTTTGAGTTGACTACCCTGTTTTCTTAATCAGTTTTTTCACATGATTTAGAAACTTATTTTTCTCTGTTGGTGTTCTTGTTTTCATTTGGATCTAAAATGAAAAGTTCAGATCATCTCCTGGTACTTTCTCTTTTTTATAACTATTATGATTTTTCTGCTTGTTTAATCTTTATCCAGTCCTCAATCTCACTGTTATCCAGATCTGTGTTCATTCTTCAAAGTTGACAGGGAAATAAAATATGTGAAAGTTGATGTACTGTAGTGCTATTATAGTTAATAATATTCTGTTTATTACTTAGGATATTGCCTTGGGTTTGGAAAGCAATCCCTTTCTTAAGTGATCATTCCAACATAAATCAAAAGTTGTCCCGTAGCCATATATGATGCAGTACAAGTAAACTGCCCAAACTAGGAAGTGGATCACATTGACTTTATTTCCAATTCTCTGACTTGTGGATATTTGTTTTTTTGATCTTTTAAACCAGTGAAGCTTGCTTCACATTCTGACTGTGTCACCTTCACTGTGTCAGAAGATTCCATGAAAAATGTGTCCTTACACCTGCAACCTTTCTTCTGAAGTGTTTGCCAGCAATATTTAACATTTAGCATTGTAAGAACCAGAACACCTTGGATTTTGGGGGATATGGCTTGGTGCTGCTGTTATTGAAAAATAAGACTTTTTTCACGCCTCAGAAGTCTGCTGACCTTTCTCCCCCTCCTAGTTTTGGTGGGGCTGCCTGGCCAGCTTGTTGACATATAATATTACCTGATGTAGTTTTAAGATAGATTGACTGAAATAAGAATAAAATCAATGAGAATTCAGAAACATATAGTAGATGTACACATGGTACACAATGAATCATTCCCAACAAACTGTAAGTTATCATTTTTTAATTATTTTTCCCTAGATCCATGTTGAATTGTACAATTGAGACTGTTAAACATTTAAATTTACAGTGCATATGAGAGGCTGTGTTTATTTTATATCTGACAACACAATTTCATTCTTCAAACAGATGAAAAAGCAGTCTTGCAACTTAAATGCTTATTTATTTATTTATCCATCATATTTGTACATACATAACCTTCCCATCTCAGCTAAGTTACTCTGGACGGTTTACAAATATGTGGTTTACAAGATACCTGAAGATAATGTATCTCATAAAACCATTGTGAATGGTTGTTAAAGAGTTCTGAAATAAAATGTCATCAATATTAAGATGAGAGGCAACTTTTTTTCTATTATCTAAATGAAATAGCAAATGCCCTACGGATATTTTTGGAAGTCTAAATGAGACTGATATATTTAAAATGAAATAGATAGAACAGAGGTACAGAAAAGGGGAGAATGATCATGGAGGTTATTGTGATTACTCTTAAAAATCAGATTGTTTTTTTGGGGTACAAGTACCCTACCAGAGGCTAGTTAGAATTACTCAGAGATTTTCTAAAATCAGTAAGTGCTTTATATTAAAGAGGTTAATGACTGCAATGTATAGTAAGCTGGGCTAGCTTTGCTCTGTAGAAATAATTTAAATTATCTCGGTTCTGATAATCGGGGTTGATGATTACTAACTTGGAAAGCTTTCAAAGGAGAAATTCATGGAAGGCAGACCCTTTGAAGGTCTGCCTTATTAGTTTGAACATTTAATATTACTTTTATGCTGGAGTAGCATGCCTCCAATTGCTAAGCAGCAAGAGAACATCATGGCTCCATCTGCCTGTGAGCACACTGGAAGCAAGTATTTCACCATTCCAAGAAATAAAATGCTGGATTAAGATGGGTTTTGGTCTGATTTAGCAAGGTCATTCTTCTTTTCTCATATCAGATTTCTATAATTAGGCTACTATGGGATTGCTCAATTAGAAAATGTAATTGATTATGATATCAACATATGTGTTTGTGGAACACCACTAAGTATTACATGCCATCTTTTTAGCATCTTTTCAGTTAAATTAGCATCTAAAAACAACTGTCACCTCCAGAGAGGTAACATCCTTAACCAATACTGTATAGACAATAGTGTTAATTCTACATAAAAAGAAATCCTATTATAATATAAACATTTTTATATTTTGAAATACATATTTGCTGGCTATGTTTAACAACAAAATGGAAGATCACTTTTTTCTCTTTTGCTTCTTTATCACTTCTTTTCCTAAATTATTATCTGCTAGAACAGAAAAATGGAAGGCCATATAAAGTCCTCCTCTTAATCATTTGGAGATTTATTGTGTTTCAAATTTAATAAAGTAAAAATGCTTCGTGTATTACACATGGGAAATCAGAAAATACATATTGTAATGAATCAAAGAATGAATAAGGATTTTGAGAAATTCAAGTATATAAAACTTTGTCCACAAACAGCTGTTATGGTAATGCAATATTTTTTTCTTTTGTGAAGAACACAAACCATGTGCAGGAAATATGAAATAAGGTAGGGCATGCTGTCACAGGCATTCAGGCAGGAAGAAACTTGCTCTTTGGTGGAAGTGCACTTGCAGGCAACTTTTTCCCATTTGCATGCTGTCTGTAGATGACACCTTCCCCATAATAAAAAGGCCAATTCGAGAACACCCACAGTATCATCAACAACATTTTTACAGGAATCCAGTTTACTAGAAAAGAAAACAACTCGCTACTCTTCCTGGACATCCTGATCAGCAGAGACCACAATGGCAAACTAGAAACGCAAATTGGCCACAAAATGGCGGCATGCATGATTGCAGCAGCTCAATGCTCCCGACGACTGTTCTTCTTTGTGTGTTCTTACTTCTTTTTGTTCCTGCATTTTACTCCATCCTGCAACGGCCTAATGTACTGTTGAGAAGACCTGATAAGTATAGGACAGCAACTCAAAACTGAAGTCACCTATGCTTATACAGAGTCCCACAATATCCCATTGGAGCTAGCAAGATCTCCGGGAGCTCCGTGGATTGTTGTCGGATTAAGCAAGTGTAGAAGACAGCGTAGGGAGAGAAAACAGAAGTGGGGATGCAGAGCGGGCCTGCTAACTCAATTGAGGAAGAGACCGCAGAAACCCCCATTACCATCTATGTTCCTCACAAACACCAGATCCCATGTAAACAAAGTGGATGAACTATAGCTGCAGATCTCCCACAATCACACAATTCGTGAGTGCTGTCTACTAATCGTCACAGAATCCTGGCTGCACCCGCAAATCCCTGATGCTACAGTGGAGCTAGCGGACCGGACCTTGCACCGTCAAGATCGCAATATAGCCTCCGGTAAGAGAAGGGGAGGGGGCCTAATTATTTATGTATGTAAAGACTGGTGCACAAACAGCAAAATAACAAACAGCCATTGCTCACCAGATTTAGAGGCCATGACTGTTCAGTGTAGATCGTTTTATCTACCATGGGAGCTAACAGTAGTTACCATCACTGCTGTATATTTATCTCCAGATTTTAATATTAGCATGGTGCTCAGTCACCTTCAAGACATAATTACCATGCAACAGAGAGCTCATCCTGAGAGTGTTCACATCATTGCTGGGGATTTCAACAGAGCATGCCTAAAAACTGTGCTCCCCAAACTTTACCAACATGTTAAGTGCTCAACCAGGGGAAAAAACACACTTGATCATGTGTATTCAAATATTAAGCATGCTTATAGAGCAAAACCTCTTCCCCACTTAGGACAATCAGACCATTTCACCCTGCTTATACTACAGCCTACACTCCCCTTAGGAAGAGAACAAAACCTAGCAGTCAAACTATTAGATGCTTGCCTGAAAATGCCCTCTCCCAGCTTCAGGACTGTTTTGCCCGCACAGATTTGGAGCATTTTCAAACAACAGGACTTTGAGTTATACACAGAGACTGTGCTTTTCTACGTGAAGAACTGTGTAGAAAATGTCACTGTGGACGAACGCATACGGACCTTCCCAAACAGGAAAACCTGGATGACCAGCGAAGTGCAGACTCTGATCAGGGCCCACGACCTGGCTTTCAGAGCAGGTGACACCTCACAGTACAGCACTGCCAGAGCTGAGCTGAGAAGGGGCATCAAACATGCTAAGGAGATGTATAGGAGGAAGGCCGAGGGCCACTTTACTGACAGTGACCTACGGCAGATGTGAAGGGGGATACAGGCCCTGACCAACTATAAAGGCCAGGGCCCAACAAACAGCGAGAGCAGTAGCACTCTGGCAGAGGAGCTAAAGAGCTTTTTCGCACACTTTGAGACCACCAAGAACCTGGACATACTGCCTCATGAGGACCACGACGCTGCACCTCTTTCTCTTCAGGTGCATGAGGTGAGAAAAACACTGAGAGCAGTAAAGCCCAGGAAAGCTGCTGGGCCTGATGGCATTCCTGGTGCAGTAGTTAAAGCGTGTGCTGACCAGTTGGCAGAAATACTTACAGAGCTGTTCAATCTATCTTTAACACATGCCATCATCCAACAATGCCTGAAGGCTGCAACCATCATCCCCGTTCCCCAAAAAAACAAATATAAACACTCTCAATGACTATAGGCCCATAGCGTTAACAAGCTCCATTATGAAGGTTTTTGAGCGACTAGTTTCACAGCACATCAGTGACTGCCTCCCACCCTCCTTTGATCAACATCAGTTTGCTTATAGAGCAAACCGATCTACAGAGGATGCTGTGGCCATCACACTTCACAGAGCACTGAGTCATCTGGAGAACAAACAGAGCTATGTGAGGATGCTCTTTGTGGACTACAGCTCTGCG